TACTACTTTTGCTTGCTTTTGCCACAGTCTTTCTATTTCTATTTGTAGGTCTCTGTATTTTGTTATCTTCTCCAGTTCTTTCTCGTCTATTCTGCTGTCTCCAGGCACTGCCACGTCCACTATCCAGACTTTTTTGTCTTTCTTATCGACAATTGTTAAGTCTGGGGTGTTATGTTGCAGGTGCTTGTCTGTTTGAATTATTATTATTATTATTATTATTATTATTATTATTATTATTATTATTATTATTATTATTATTATTATTATTATTATTTATTATTTATTATTTATTATTATTATTATTATTATTATTTATTATTATTATTATTATTATTATTATTATTATTATTATACTCTTTACTGTTCCAGCTATTAAATATCTTGATGCAAGTTCGTTATAATAATGATTTTAAATAATTTGCTACCTCTGTAAAAAAAAAAGTGCCCTCTTTTTCCTTCCCTCCCCAGCTTATGATCCAAATAACAAGCGCCTCCGCCAGATAAAAGACCAAGTTCTCACTGACTCCAGATTCAAGCCCAGGATCCTTTTCCAGCTCCTCCTGGATACAGCCCAGTTTGAATTCATTTTGAAAGAGGTAAATAAAAACCTGGGGGCTCCTTTCTGAGGCGGGAGAGAGTGTGTGTCACAGTTCACAAGAAGCTGTGGGTCACCCCAAAATAAGAACAGCTGAAAACTCAGATTTGGCTTTTTTTTTTTTTGAGTGTCGTGATCATTGTTCTCCTGGGCCATAGATGTCTCATTGCAAGAACCCAGAGAAACAGCTTCTGGAGTTTGTTTTCTCTAAAATGCTTGAAGGAGAACTTCATTAAAAAAATGTTTTTTTTAAAGATGGCCTGATCCTTTCTTATTTTCTTGGAGAATCTTTGAAAAATGTATTATTGATGCTATGTCTGTCTGTCTGTCTATCTATCTATCTATCTATCTATCTATCTCATTTCTAAACTGCCCATTATATTTGCATGACTCTGGGCATTTTACAAATAAAACCATAAAACCATATAGAGGTAGTCCCCACCTTGCAACCATCCATTTAGCGACTGAATAAGGTGACTTATGACCGGTTCTTGCACCAACAACTGTTGTAATGTCCCCATGGTCACATGAAACAAAATTTGGGTGCTTGGCAACCAGCATATGTTACAACAATTTCAGCATCCTGGGGTCATTTTAGTGAATGGGGGAAGCATTAGTGATCTGTGATTCACTTTAACAACTGGGGCAATTCATCTAACAGGTGTGGCCCAAAAAAGGTTGCAAAATTAGTCATGACTCGTTTAACAATCCGGTCACTTAGCAACAGTTGTTTCGGTGTTAGGTGTGGTCTGCCTATAAAAGCATAGTTAAAAACAAAGTTAACAAAATATATTTATTTATCTAATGTCTATTTTTAATGTATGGTTAATCGAATAGAGTGCTTTTAAGTTTATTTGATCAATATTCTGACATATACCTCTTCTTCCTAATCAGATATTTTTAGTTATAGACTCAACTCAGCTAGCTGACTTTGATTTGAACAGGATTTGAACAGGATTTGAACAGGATTTGAACTAGTGATTTGAACAGGATTTGCAACGATTCACTGACCCTTTAAGTGTATCATTAACAGTTTTGGGTTTTGGCCACTTGTCTTTTAATCTAGCTCTGGATAGTAAGATGGGTGGCATTTAAATTTAATAAATATCTGAGAAACGTCTGTCTTTCTACTAGATGTTCAAACAAATGTTGTCCGAAAAGCAAACGAAGTGGGAGAGCTACAAGACAGAAGGATCAGAAAGAATGGCTGAATTGGCAGATGTCTTTTCAGGAGTGAAACCATTAACCAGAGTGGAGAAAAACGGTAGGCTGAAACCGAAAAACAAGTTGCAATCTTGTTAAAAACTTTTAGCGTGAAGAGTAATGAATTTCCAGTTCATTTTTAACAAAGTCAAACCCGCAACTCTTTGTCTAATTTAAATCTTTCTTCCAATTGTAAATATGTAAACCAACAGCAGACACGTCCTTCTGATTTTAGCTCTCCCTTAGGCTTGAAAATAGGATCACCAAGATTAAAAGATATTATTTTACCATAGGTCCACCAGTCTGGCTTCGCCACCGTTTCTTGTGTGTGTGTGTGTGTGTGTGTGTGTTTGCTTTTAGTTTTCAGCAGATGTGGTCATTGTCTTCATGCTGTTGGCTCTTTTTAAGAGGGGAAAAAATGGAGGGCTGAACTTCTTCAATGAATAAATAAAGGGAAATGATGGACTGTGTTCGTTATTGATTGGGTAGATGTGAAACTTGCTATTAGGACCTATATTCTCTAGCCACTTCTGTTGAAATATTGCAAGTTGAATCCTTTCGTGGCAAGTGCGTATTTAATAAATTAAGAATTTCCAACAGCAAGATGGAAACATGACATGACAGTTTCAGCATCCTGGGGCCCTTTGTGACTTTTGCAGCTGGCGTCTCACAAGCAAAGGGAATGGGGGAAGCCAGAGTCACATGCAGAAATAACATCTTGTTTCTCAAAGCTAAAAGAGGCCAGTATTCTGGCTCTGTTTTCCCCCCTCCCCCCCCACAAGTTAGGCTTCTAAGTCTTGCATTGCAGTGGCACATAAAGATTAGTATTTTTGCAAATGGAAGAAAACGATCATCTAATTCTTAAGTATTTTTCCTATTTTAGTCAATATTTGGAAACACAACATTTGTAGACAGAGAGTTTAGGGCAGTGATGGCAAATCTTTTAGAGACCGAGTGCCCAAACTGCAACCCAAAACCCACTTATATATCGTCGGGTGCCGGGTAGGTGTGCCCCATTGGGTGGGTGTGGCCCATTGGGTGGGCGTGGCTGCAGTGGTAACGACAGACTGGGTGGGACTAAAAAGTTCAATCAATCAATTCCAAATTTGCGAGAACTTTTTCTTTTCCCGCGAGAAGTTGAAATTGATTGAACCTTTTTTTTTTTTTTTTGCACACGGTGGCGGAGGCCTAAAGCGAAAAGGTTTTATAAAACCCAGCTGAAGGCTTAGGACTGGGGTGACGGCGCACACGCCACAGAGAGAGCTCTGCATGCCACCTGTGGCACGCGTGCCATAGGTCAGGGCTTTTCAACCAGTGGTACGGGTAGCACCTGTGGTACATTGGCACCTGGCAGGTGGTACGCGACCATCCTAGAAAAGTAGTGGGGGAGGGGAATGAGCTGAACCAGTGGCAGCACCGCACAAGTCTGAGCGAGAGATGGCTGGAGCTGCAGGGCTGTCAGGGCTCAGCAGAAGCGCCAGGATCAGTGCCACTTTCCAGCTGATCGACGCTTCTTCGGGACTGTCAGGGCTCAGTGGAAGTGCCAGGATCAGTGCCAGGCTCCAGCTGGAGCTCGGCGCTGATCCTGGTGCTTCTGCTGAGCCCTGAAGAAGCACCAGTCAGCTGGAAAGCAGCACTGATCCTGGCAGTTTTGCTGAGCCCAGAAGAAGCGCCGATCAGCTGGAATGTTGCAGCATCTCCAGGGTCTTGTGATTTACATTCAGATGCTTGGCAACTGATTCATATTTATGACGGTCACAGTGTCCCAGGGTCATGTGAAGTGACCAAAACCTGCTGCAACCACCCAGCAGACGGGGGGGAATAAAAACCAAACACCCCCCCACCCCACCCCCACTGCCAATCCTCAACAGAAATGCTCACAACAATGAAAACCTCGGACAGGAGGAAGAGCGCCGCCGGGTGGGCAGGCAGGTGTCTTGTTCGGCTGTCTTTTTTGGGGGGGTCATCAAGTTTTTGACACCTTGCTAGGCAACTGGTGGTACTCGGATATTGCCATATCCTAAAAGTGGTACAATGGATGAAAAGGTTGAAAAGCCCTGCCATAGGTTCACCACCATGGGTTTAGGGGATTTCAGAGGCATTGACAGATCTGCCACAACAAGGTGATCTCTTTTATTCCTTTTCCTGCTTGGACAGAAAATCTGCAAGCCTGGTTTAGAGAAATCTCCAAACAAATCATGTCTCTGAACTACAACGACTCCACTGCAGCAGGCAGGAAAACAGTGCAGTTAATTCAAGCTTTGGAAGAGGTAAGGATGGAGCCCTTGTCTAAACATTTTCTTGTTTTCTTGGTGGAATAATAACGATTTAAAATCTCCCCAGTGAATGAGCTGCATTCAATTGTTTAACGCAGGTCCAGGAATTTCACCAACTGGAGTCCAATCTGCAAGTTTGCCAGTTTCTCGCAGACTCTCGCAAGTTTCTGCATCAAATGATCCGAACCATCAACATTAAAGAAGAGGTTTTAATCACCATGCAGATAGTAGGGGACCTTTCCTACGCTTGGCAGCTCATTGACAGGTATGACTCCAAAGACATTCTGAATTCTTCTTACCAGGACTTATTAGCTGAGTAGGCTGGCTTCCCCAAACGAAGTAGCGTGTTTGATGTCCTATTGTAGAAGCAATCATATCTAAATAATGAATCTTGAGAGTTGGAACCTCTTCTGATTCTTATAATTTGTCAATTAAGGGATGGAAAATACTGCTATGTAGATTAAGAGTACAGATGGTCCTCCACTTATGATCATAGTGGAGCCTGCCCATCACAGTTGTAAGTCTAGACACTCATAGTAAAGCAGTTGCCACACTTGCAAAGCGAACCAGTGTTTATGAGGTGGTTTTGCTGAAAACAGGAAATAAATTCAGCAAAACCCTTGTAAAATGCAATCAAATGACTGTGAGACACTGCAAGCAGCTATCAATGCAGCTTGGATGCCAAACGCCCAAGGTTTAGTCACGTGACTGCAGGGATGGAGGTGACCATTGAAATGTTAAATCTGGGTCCTAAGTAGCCCCCCAGGTGGGTTGTAAGCAACTCGTGGTAAATTGAGGACTACCTACAGTGCATTCTACATGAACAGCATGTGTTCTACTGTAGAGCTACAATTCCTCTACAGGAATTGTAGAATTCCTATCTTAGCTCTTTGTTTTCTGATCACTTTAGGGAGCGGATTCTAAACTTGCTTGCCCCATAAGGTGGTTGTTTTAATAATAATAATAATAATAATAATAATAATAATAATTATTATTATTATTATTATTATTATTATTATTATTATTATTATTATTATTATTATTATTATTATTATTATTATTATTATTTAAAAAAGGTGGAAGTCCAACCCCCTGCTCAGGCAGGTAACCCTATACCATTTCGGACAAATGGCTGTCCAGTTTCTTCTTAAAAACTTCCAATATTGGAGCATTCACCGCTTCTGCAGGCAGGTTGTTCCACTGGTTAATTGTTCTAACTGTCAGGAAATTTCTCCTTAGTTCTAGGTTGCTTCTGTCCTTGATTAGTTTCCATCCTTTGCTTCTTGTCCTGCCTTCAGGCGCTTTGGAGAATAGCTTGACTCCCTCTTCTTTGTGGCAGCCCCTGAGATAGTGGAAGACTGCTATCATGTCCCCCTCGTCCTTCTCTTCATTAAACAAGACATACCCAATTCCAGCAACCCTTCCTTATATGTTTTTGCCTCCAGTCCCCTAATCATCTTTGTTGCTCTTCTCTGTACTCTTTCTAGAGTCTCAACATCTTTTTTACATCGTGGTGACCAAAACTGGATGCAGTATTCCAAGTGTGGCCTTACCAAGGCATTGTAAAGTGGTATTAATACTTCACGTGATCTTGATTCTATCCCTCTGTTAATGCAGCCTAGCATTGTGTTGGCTTTTTTGTCAGGTGCAGCACACTGTTGGCTCATATTTAAGTGATTGTCCACTAGGACTCCGAGATCCCTTTCTAATGGAGAAATTCAGATCTATTTGATTGTAAATGTAGCTGCCTTGTTTGGTTGACAGTCTTCACACGAACAAGGCTTTAAAAAAAGGACAAAGAACTTTCCAGGAGGCCAAGCGCCCCACCATTTTTAAGGGGAGTGAAGACCACAATAAGAAGTATAATAATATATGCAGAATCATATCATGTACCGGTCTAGTTTACAATTTTTCATATTTGTTTCTGCATTTATATGAACGGTTCTATTTTGTTGTTATTTACATTTAAATCTTAAACATGTTAAGTCTGTTTTAGCCCAAATATTGATTTCAGCTTTTATTTCTGTCATGGCTTTATTTATCTTCCCGCACCCTTTTTCCAGTTTCACCTCTATCATGCAGGAAAGTATAAGAGTCAGCCCATCTATGGTAACCAAACTCCGGGCCACCTTTTTAAAGGTGAGTTGGTTAGTACATTAGCAACAGTCCAGCTTTTGGGAGGTCGGATTAGGAATCCTTTATGGGGGGGGGCTTGAGGGGGACACCTATTTGTTGCCTCTCTTGAAATCCTTTGTCCCAAGTTGACAAATTGGATTTCCAAGACCATAAAACTGATCCATTTTATTCTGGATTCTTTCCAGAATGGAATTAGGCTTTTCAAAAATAATTAAGGATTTACTTTACTCAGAATACTTTTTACTTACATAGTAATTCTAATGACTTTCACTCTCAGGCGTTGAAATCTGAGGCTCAATTTACACACCAAAGACAACTTTTGCTTAGTCACAGCTTGTTAAATAATTGGCTGAGTTTGTACAGTAGACTAAGCCACAAACCATGATTTACAAGCCACAGTAGCTAGATTCGCTCCTTGCATTAAGCCACTATCAATAGAAACCATATTATAACCTAAAGCATATCTGGGAACTTTATTGATGTCTCTATCTCACTTGCTTCCAGCTGGCTTCAGCTCTTGACATGCCACTTCTTCGCATCAATCAAGCAAACAGTCCTGATCTTCTCAGTGTATCACAGTATTATTCTGGAGAACTGGTATCCTATGTAAGGAAGGTGAGCAAGATCATTTTTGGAGATATTTTTTCCCTTGTTACAAACTGGGAAAGCCGTTTTTCAAGAGTTCCCCTCTGGAAGAACTTTACAATAGACCAGTGTTTCTCAACCAGCTGAAGATGTGCTGACTTCAGCTCCCATAATGCCATATTCTGACTGAGAAATTCTGGAAATTAAAAAGTCCACACATCTTAAAAATTGCTGATTTTGAGAAACGCTGCAGTGGACTATCACAATTCAAGCTGAACCTCTTGGCCACTGTAGCCAAGAACTTTCTAGATCTTTGAACCAAAGATAGTCTCCTTTGCCCAACCCCAGAAGCCAGAAAGGAAAGTGATTTGGATCTTCCTACCTAAATCCAGTAATAAAGAACTGAACAACCATCTAAGAGTTTGTTAGATTAGATTAATAGTAGTTGTATAATCACGCAGCCTTAAACATGATGACATTTATAATGAAAATGTTCTCTATTTAAATCAGTGAAAGTTCATCTCTAGATAAAAAAATTGAATTTAGCGGAGAAAGAAATATAAGAAAGAAAGGGAAGGTAGCAAACATATTCACCAAATTCTAAATAATAGTAATAGTAATAGTAATAATAGTAGTAGTAGTAGTAATAATAGTAGTAGTAGTAATAATAATAATAATAATGATGATGATGATGATGTTGGAAGGGACCTTGGAGGTCATCAAGTCCAACCCCCTGCTCAGGCAGGTAACCCTGGCCTATACCATTTCGGACAAATGGCTGTCCAGTCTCTTCTTAAAAACTTCCAGTGTTGGAGCATTCACCGTTTCTGGAGGCAGGTTGTTCCACTGGTTAATTGTTCTAACTGTCAGGAAGTTTCTCCTTAGTTCTAGGTTGCTTCTCTCCTTGATTAGTTTCCATCCGTTGCTTCTTGTCCTGCCCTCAGGTGCTTTGTGTTGAGCTAAAGAACATATTGTTCCTGTTGGCTTAGATCACACCTATCTATGTGGCTAGAAAGTTAGTTTGGTATACAAGTAGTTCTTGCTTAATGACCATTTGTTCAGCAACCGTTTGAAATTATAACCACACTGAATAAAGGGATTTATGACCTGCCCTCCCCCAAATAATAGTTGAAAAGGGCTTTACTTGGGGATAACAAAAAATAACTTTCGCTAATTCAGGTCTCTCTTCATTGGAGTTCAATGGGTATTGTTCTATTATGCTAAAAACTAGAGGGGTATTGTACCCCTTAAAGCAGTGGTTCTCAATCTGTGGGTCGGGACCCCATTTGGGGTCGATCGACCATTTCATGGGGGTCGCCAAGCAAGGCTGTCCGCCATTTTTTTTGTCCGCCATTTTTTTCCCTTTTCCGGCGGGTGCCTTACTTCCCTTGGGCTGGGCCAGCTGGTGGTCGGCCTGCTTCGTCTCTGCCGCTTGCCAGCTACGCCTCGGCCGGTGCAGGGGGCGGAACCACGCATGCGCGGCGCTCCCGGGCAGGGAAAGTCCTTGACTTACAACCGGTTGGGTAGTCCTCGACTTACGGCCGGTTTAGTCCTCAACTTACGACCGGTTGGGGTCACGGCATTAAAAAGGTTGAGAACCACTGCCTTAAAGGAACTATTACTTTTCAATCGCTAATCAATATTTTTGCATTTTGTATTTTTGCCTTTTGGGAGAAAAGGTTTTACAGATCATTCCAGAAAGCATGTTCACTTCTCTCCTGAAGATTATAAAACTGCAGACTCATGATATCATTGAGGTGCCAACTCGCTTGGACAAGGACAAGCTGCGAGATTATGCTCAACTTGGACCACGCTATGAGGTGCTTCAAAGTTTACAGTGTTAGAGAGATTAGGTGCACTTCTGGAATTGGTATGAAGTCATATTCCTGGATGATAGAGACTCTGTATAGCAATGATGGCGAACCTTTTAGAGACAGTGCCCAAACTGCAACCCAAAACCCACTTATGCATCATCAAGTGCTGGATGGATGTGGCCCATTGGCTGGGCATGGCCCATTGGCTGGGCGTGGCTGCAGTGGTAATGGCAGACTGGGTGGGACTAAAATGTTCAGTCCATTCCAACTTTGCAAGATTTTTTTTTTTCCCGCGTGAAATTGAAATTGACTGATTTAACTTTTTTTTTTTTGCACACGGCGGCGGAGGCCTAAAGCAAAAAGGTTTTATAAAACCCAGCTGAAGGCCTAGGACTGGGGCGAAGGTGCGCATGCCCACAGAGAGGGCTGTGAGTGCCGTCTCTGGCACCCGTGCCATAGGTTCACCACCACTGCTCTATAGATTATGATAGCAAATCATCCGTAATAAGGGATGAATATTTATCACAAAAAGTGGAAGTAGCTTATTTCTGCTCCTCCTGTCATAAGGAAGTGACAGTTGGGTATGTCATTTAAAACATGAAGTTAAGGAGAAAGAAGTCCATGTGGTAAAAGAAGAAAAGAGCTTCCTTATCAATTATGTTCTTTTCAGCTCCCCAATGCTCTGGAGGTGCCTTCTAATTACCAACCTCTCCTTTCTTTCTCAAAGGTTGCTAAGCTTACGCACGCCATCTCCATTTTCACGGAAGGCATCCTGATGATGAAAACAACATTGGTTGGCATCATCAAGGTAACATTTCCCATTGCAGTGGACAGAAAAATCTAGAAACCTGTTGATTCCCCAAGATAGATTTCATGAATTTTGGAATAAGTGGGGTCCAAAAGGTATGCGAAAATGATACAGTAACTTCACCCAGAGGAACAAAAATAGCATTTTGAAGGCCATTTTCCAACATTTCTTCAAGGGCTGTTTATGTGCACGTATGTGTTTCTTCAAATCAGTGTTGATTCCTGGTGACTGCCTGGTCTAGTCCCTGTGGTTATAGCTTCTACATAATCATCTTCAAGGATGTCTCCTTAGTCCTCCGTGATCACCATAGTAGGATGAAAAACAAGCCCAAAGGACATCTAGTGCCAGAATACTGAGCATGTAGGTGTTCTGCGAAAGTTTCCTCTCTTGGAGACTATCTTATCTTCCTCAAGATAAAACAGTTCAGTTCAGCCATAGCATAATAGAGAGTAGGAGACACGTATCCAACAAACAGAAAGGCACATGAAGAGAAAGTATGTGTCATGACCCAGGGCACAGCACAGAGGCAATGCAGTCAGCTGGCAATTCAAACAGTTCTTTTATTGCCCCAAATTTTCCCCAAATGCTCCCACGTTTGCTGGCAAGCCTCCAACAACAGAACACACACACACATCCCTTCAGCCGACTGTGGCTGAAAGTAGGTTCAAATGCAGTCTGATTAGCATAAGAAAGTACTCAAGGCCATGGAGATAACAAGGAAGAAAACATAAACTTTAACGAGTCTGTTTGAATCCTAGCTGGCCTGAGCAGTTTTCAAAAGAGAGAATCTGAAATACAATCCGATAGTCAAAAGATTCCAGGTTTCCAAACAGAAGTCACAGATCAGCAGCAATACACAACACTCCAAGGAATCAGCGTTTGTTCCCGACAAATGCCCCTCCCCACAATGGTCTCCTTAAATCTCAATCTCCAGGTGTTCCTTGTGGAGAGGAGTGGGACGCTCTCCTCCCAAGTAATTGAGCCTGCCTGTGTTATTCCCTCCTTCTCTCCACTCTCCGTGCTCTAGGATCAGGTGGGGGTGGCCCTGGCTCATCGCCTGAACTCCTGTTCCTCCTGCTCCAATCCTGAAGGGCCCTGGCCTGCCTCAGCCTGCCCTTCCCCACTTTCCTCTGAAACCACCTCCATAGGGTCCCATTCCAGTTCATTTTCCTCCGCAGATTCAGGCTCAGACGGAGGCATGTCAGTATGGGCACGTTATCATTTCTCTCTTCTGCGGGTTTTCTAGGTTGACCCAAAGCAGTTGCTTGAAGATGGAATTAGAAAGGAGCTGGTCAAACGAGTGGCTTTTGCCCTACACCGAGGGCTCACCTTCAACCCTAGAGCTAAGGTATCAGGGGATCTTTCCCCCTTTTTTCTGTTTGCCTACATTCATTTAGCCCAGTTCTTTGTTATCGTACCAACAGTTACAGTCAAATTCTCATCCTTCTTCCCCTTTTAGAAATTAAATGCTTCAAGTCATCTCCCTACGGTAGGGGTGTCAAACTCAATTTCATTGAGGGCCAGATCAGCATTGCGGTTGCCCTCAGGAGGCCGGGTGGGTGCGGTCTACTGAGTGGGCATGGATGGAGTGGGTGTGGCCTACTGGGTGGCCGTGGCCAGTTCTACATCGTTCGCGTCAAGGGTGCCTGTGGGGGCCTGGGCAGGAGTGGGACAGATCTGAGGGTCTCTGGCAGAAGGGGGTGGGACCGGGGCAGAGCCCATCAAGCCACATATGTGAAGTAGGCAAGGGCCATTTGCTGGCCACTTCCAGGCGATGGTGCATTTCTTCATTCCTCACAAAGGGTGACACCTCCCCAGCATGCACCTAGGGGATGGGGCTGATGTGGCAGGGGCTGGTTCCTCGCTGTTTCCAGGCGGCCTTGTGGAGCTAAGACTGAATGTGTTTCAGCATAGATGGCCACCACAAAATTGTACATTGGCCAGGGCCAAGGCAGCGGGGGCCGTTCCCTCACTGTTTCCAGGATGGCTTCGCGGGCCACATGAAACCACTTTGCAGGTCGCATCCGGCCCCCGGGCCTTGTGTTTGACAGATCTGCCCTATGGCTTCACGAAAGAGAGGTTTCACCCATTACACAGTCTCACATTCTCTTTCAGATTTATGGGCAACTCTTGAAACAGGTGGCGGAACCAGGGGTGTTCCAGTTTGCAAATACATTTTAAAAATACTTGGAGGCAGAGCAGCTGAGCAGCTTTTCCTTCCCTCCATCTTGTAATGGTGAAATTGTTTCTCCTTGGAAGGGAGAGAGGGAGAAGGTTCCAGGAAAGAGGACATTCTGGAATCCACCAGTAGTCCTCAATTTACAACCACAGTTGAGACCAAATTTCCGTTGCTGGGCATGGCGGTTGTTAAGTAAGTAATGCCCGATTTACAACCTTGTCTGTCACGCTTGTTAATCAAATCACTGCAGTTGTTAAGTGAATCATGCATTTGTCGAACGAATTTGGCTTTCCACATTGACTCTGCTGGTCGGAAGCCAGCTGGGAAGGTTGCGAATGGTGATCACGTGATCCTGGGACACTGCAACCGTGGTAAATACATGCAGACTGCCCAAGTACTTAAATTTTGATAACGTGGCTGTGGGGATGCTACAACAGT